CAGTTTATTTTATAATCAAGTTTACGAGTCAGATGTAGTAATAGTAATTTTATTCCGCTATCTCCAGTAAGCGATACTTCACTTTCCTCTCTTTCTTTCCGAAGCTATGCTTAGAGAGCAAGAGTTTAAGTGTGAGCTTTCTTACAATAGCTATATTTTTTTACTTGCAGGGCTTTTACCTGTACCTGAACGCATATGTGATAACAGATATCTCCGGACATACCTAACCAATTTCAGACGAATTCAGTAGTTCCTTACCCTTGCATTGACATGTCATTTTGTAAAAATGGAAATCGAACAACAACCACAATTTTAAATTCCAATTGAGTTTTTTTTACTTTCCAGTATACAAATCAAGCATCAGTGAATAGGCAAGGATAAAATTTTCCACAAATATTGCCTTAGGTATTCTATCTCGAGTCAAGAAATAGCTCAAATCGGACCATAACTCTTCAAGTTAACTTTTTGCGAAAATGTCAGATAGTGTGTTTGATAGTGTTTTATAGGCGGATTTTGTCAGAATATTCGGGGATTGATATCCACGGTCGTCTAGATACATACATGCCATGTGGTATATGCCATAAAATAATATATTATCTCTTTTATTATCATGAATTTTTTAAGTTCTTATCAAAAATCAAATTGGTTTTAAGAATTTTATACCAAATTTTTTTCTTAAAAGACCAAATAAAAGATAAATCTATGAACTTGGCTCTATACAAGGTGTGTTCAAAAAGTATCGCGAATTCTGTGTTTTTTCAAAAATTATTTATTTATTCATGAATATCTATTTTGTCTCCTTCAAAGTAATACCCATGCGATATTATACAGTTGTGCCAACGGGTTTTCCAATCTTCGAAGCACTTCAAAAAATCATTTTTTTTAATCTTCTTCAGCTCCTCCTTCGATGCCGTGTTTATCTCGTCAAGAGAAGCGTAACGTCGTCCTTTCATGGGCCTCTTCAGTTTAGGGAACAAGAAAAAGTCACGAGAGGCCAGATCTGTGGAATACGGTGGCTGCGGCATCATTAGTGTGTTGTTTTTGGCCAAAAAGTCGCGTACAAGCAACGATGTGTGAGCAGGGGCGTTATCGTGATGCAAAAGCCAATTTTTGTCACATCTTCTCGGCCTTCTGAGAACATTTTGTACCACCGATAAACGTTGCTTCGGTCCAAGGTAGCTTCTCCGTATGCCAGAGTCAACATTCGGTATGCATCCGCGCACTTAATTTCGTTTTTCACAGAAAATTTGGTACAGGTTCTTTGATCCATTTTTTTGAATAGGTAAAAAATCGAAGACGATCCAAAACACATGCAAGCAAAGCAGCTGACAACAATTAAATGCACATTCAAAATGGCTGAGATTGTCTGCATAAGTGAGAGACATGAGTACCAACATACCGCCATAAAAATTCGAAATTCGAATATACGTAACCCGCGAAAATTCAAAATTCGCTATACTTTTTGAACACACCTCGTATATGAATATTTTAATATAATCCGACTTAACATAATACTTACCCAACTGTTGTAGCCCGAACATGATTAAAAATCCTAACAGCAACGAGAAGTAAGCAACCAGGCCGGAATGATTTTTCGACAAAATTTCGAAAAAGACCACATATAACAGTGTGCCACAAGCTAATCCCTGCAATATGGCTGATGGTATGTTAGGTGATGTAATAATATCGCTTTGGCTGATCAATATGCCAATACCGATTCCAATCGGACTTACTATAGCAAATGTCAACACATATACTGTACAGAGCACGAAGCGAGTGCGTGCTACAATTAACTCGACCCCAACGCAGAATGCCAGCACCAATTTATGCGCGGATACAGCACCAAACATAAACCATACATCCGATGCATTGCTTTCTAAACCAATGGCCATACCTTCAAATAGTTCATGCAACGATAGCGCTAACACTATGAATAATCCACGTAAAGACGATGTGATCGCATCTTTACTATCGCTAGCATTGCCAATCGGCACATGTGAATGACCAAAAGCTTGGTCATGGCTGAGTTGATGTTGATGATCACGATGGTGGTGGTGGTGATGGTAGTGTATTTGTTGAGGTTCGTATTTCTGTGCCTCCTTATTATGAGCTTGCTTATTGTACTTTGTATTCTCTACATCATTGGTTATCAAATTTTGCTTTGAAAGGGTTGATGCACTTACAATGTTTTCAACATTAATTTCTGAGACACTTGGAGAGTTTGAAGTGGTCGTAATATTTATTTTGGTATCCTCATTATGAACACCTTCCTCTGTTGATTCATTGGCAGCTGTTTTACCCGCCACTAAATAACTGTTGCGTATGCTACGTCCACGTTCGAAAGCTGCACCTGCACCAGCATCACTGCCCATCAGACGCATATGTTGGTGTATATATGTGTGTAAAACTTCCTCTATTAAGTACATGAGAAAGAAACCGATACACATAAGCAATTCCGCTAGACTAAAATCCAAATCGGGAATTATATCGCACTCCTGTAATTGCTCGACTGCCTCCTGTACTTCGGGCAAAAGATGCAAGAATGTTGTGGCTAACAACACGCCCCCGCCAAAATATAACAAACATTTAACAACTGTTGCTGAGCGGGCATTGGTATGTTCCTCTGTCCAATGAAAAAATTTATTGAGTGCAAAAGGAATACTACCGCATAACGTACTCGCGCAGAAAAGTACCACCATGGCTGTAACTTTGGCGACTAAGACATCGTAACTACTTGATTCATCGTCATCATGATCATGATCTGTCGAATGAGGGTTAATACTTTGGGATGATTGTGAATGCTGTGTCTCACTGGAATTCAAAGCACTTCTAAAAGTAGCGCGTGCATGCAATGCCAAATAATTAAGGTCATCGATATGCAGCAGACAACGTAGGAAATTATTTACCTGGGATTCATTCATTATGAATATGAACGGCAATTACCTGCAATCGAAATTGAAAATGTAATTAAAAAATAAGTAATAATAATAAATATAATTTTGTATACGCGTATATACAATATTTCATTAATCGACGACGTAGTGCCATAACTAAGCCGTAAATTAAGATCAAGAATTAAATCTGATGCAACGAATCACATTCAGAAGAATTTAAGGTTTTAAAGGCAAAAAATAAGACATATTTGTGTTTTTCGGCGACATGAGTAATATAATTGTATTAATTTTAGAAAAAATTTTCAATGAAAAATATTAGTATATATGCCTGTGACGCTCCAGAAGCGCCTTGAAAAAAACTCGTTATATGTAACTCGTTACCGAATCATCTGAAACAAAAAAATGGATATGCGTTTTAAAGGTGATGTATTTCTCGAGGTAATCAGAAAGAGTTTTCTTTTTTTTCTATTTTTTGCAGCAATTGAACGGTTAATTTGATAATAAAAAACAGAAAAAATGGAAAGAAACTCCATCTGATTACTTGTTTATTTATGTGAAGAAGGTTCAATTTTTCAAAAGGATCGGTTCAGTAGATTTTGAGTTCTAATGTTCATGAACTTCAAAAATAGCGTTTTCGGGAAAATCGATTTGAAGTTTTTTATAGATCAAAATTGAGGTATCACGGCCGGTCGTTTAAAACTCTGTAACTCCGTAATTTTGACAATAATTGACTTTATATCGCGTATGAGAGTGACGGTGCATATTTGTGCTTAGAATGAATAAAATCGGTTATTGAAGGTCCTCTTGCAACTTGCAATGATTAAAGATAGGGAAGCTTTAATCATTGCAAGTTGCAAGAGTATGAAATGTTCAGTTTTACCCGGAGCTACCTTCTTTCTTGTAGGAGAGTAAAAATACGTCAAGTGGACCCCCATTTTCCACTTGATCATCGAATTTGAATGTGAGTATTTTTTCATAAAGTAGTCACCATGAAAAAATAATACCCAAAGTTCTTTTTTTTAATTTTAATTTTAACAACAATTTTTTTTAATTGAAAATGTTTACTACTTTTAGATAAAAAATTTATAATTAAAAAACTATTGGTGATTTTTTGATAAAATTTTCAGGAGTTATATCGGGTGATTTTTTTGAGGTTAGGATTTTCATGCATTAGTATTTGACAGATCACGTGGGATATC